ATTATTATTATTATTATTATTATTATTATTATTATTATTATGGTGCTGAGCCATCAGTGAGCATAATTTTGTCACCACAGACACCATTACAATTTAGGAACTTGCACAAAAATGAATCCATGCACTATTGTTCTGAGCTACAAGTTGACTCCAACTTATGGTGATCCTAGAGTTTGGTTGGCAAATCTTATTCAGAGGAGGTTTGCTATTGATTCCCTCTAAGTCTGAAAGAATATGACTTGTTAAAGTCACCCAGTACATTTCCATGGCCAAGCAGGGATTCAAACCCTGGTTGCCTGGAGTCCTAGTCCAACACTCAAACCATTATTCCACAGTGACTCTCTGTCCATGAGCTATTTACTGTCATTTTTTACTACAGTGAAAAAGGATTGTGGGCATTATAAAGCTGGCCCATAGGACATGTTTGTTTATTTATTTATTTCCTTTCCTTATTGAGAATAATTGTTAGGGGGGATAGATGCAAACAGATTATTATTGGAAAGAAAGGACCTTTGCAGACTGCCAGAAATAATGCAGATTGAGGTCACTTTAACTGTCCAGGCTCAGTGTTAGGGAATCATGGGAATTGTATTTTTTTCTGGGACATTGAGCCTTCTCTGTCAGAGAGCTCTGATGCCACAATAAACTACACTTCCCATGATTCCTTAGCACTGAGCCAGGGCAGTTAAAGTGGCCTCAATCTGCATTATTTCTGGCAGTCTGTAAAGGCCCAAAGGCTTGCTAGAGCCTTTACTCCAGCAACAGCAGAAGGGCCCATCTTGGGAGGATAAATATGCCAGAACCAAATGGAAGCAGAAAATAAGTTTGAATCCTTAACAGGAGGAATATCTATTAAAGAAATACATTCTCCAGATGGAAACAACCTGATCCTTTCTAAACTGTGCTAAAAGAGATAAGGATGGGAGGCAGACATGTTACAACATGTCCTCCTTCACGAAGAGAGAGAGAGCAGAAAACACCAGCTGGAGAAAAGATGGAGAGACATCAGCCTGAGTTTAGTTCCTTTTCTTTACAACGGGGAACAGTCACTTAAATAAACTTGACTGAATCAGATGATATTATCTGCCCATAACACTTTTGGGATAGGTGGCTGACAAAGGAAATAAACAGGCAGGAATAGAAAGTTTTTAATCTCTCTCTGCCTGAATCTTTTTATCCCTAGTGGACAAGAGAACAGTGAAGACAAGTGCAGAAGTTATGTATCTTACAACAATAATAAGGGTCTTTCAGTAAAATAAAAAATACAATAAATTGATAATTAGCCACTGACTTGTATTTATTTACTTATTTATTTAATTTATGCTGACTTTCAGCCAGGATGGGGCCGAAGGTGGCTTACAAGATATCGGATGAAGGTGGTCCTTCTGGTTGACATTGCAGAGTAATTTTAAACTACCAGTAGCTGCAAATTAAACTAATCTTGTTTCAGATTATAGGGTTATACTGAGACAAAAAGGCAGTTTTAGAAATTCTTTTCACATGAGTTACATAAAAGAAGCATCCCATGGACTTGTAGTAGGATCCAAAATAATGAGTTTATTTAAAAATAAATATTTCCTAATTGCAATGAGGATTTCAATTAGGATATATTTGTTTCCAAGTAAACCTATTCTTTGACAGTCTGTTTTGATTACAGCCTAAATTCCTGTGTTTCAGCAGCAAAGATTTTAATTGTGCATGCTCAAGTTATCTTGAAAATGTTATTTGTTTCTGGTTGAAATCATGGAACAGAAAGGGCCAGCCCCAACACTAGCAGAAAGAGACAACAACCTAAGCTAAAAAATGTTGAGACATTATGAAAAGTATATTACTATTACTATTAACTGCTTCTTGTTGCATTTTTACTTCCAAACAGGTGCTTGCAGGATTTTCTGCCACATGTTCCAAAAGAATTTGGCTGACTCCTGATGTAGATACATTAGGGAGGG